TCTAAAAGTATTGATAAAATTTCTCATCATGTATAAAATCTCAAGATGAAAATTTTTGTGCCTAAGGTAGAAGAATCAATTAAAGCTCTTTATGTTTCTGTGGATGAAAGTAAGAAAAGAACCGCTATGCTTAGAGCTAGAAGAGAATTTTGAGAAGCGTTTTCTAGTGATTGCTTTCATAAAAGTGATGAAGATCTTAAAATGCTTGGTGTTTTTTCTATTGATTCTTTGTTTAGCAAAATTAAATTGATGATAAAGGGATTGGAGAAGAGTCAACTTTAGCTAGAAGGTGTCCCGATAATTCAAAGGGTGAAAAGCTTGTTGAGAAAATTGATAAAAGTGGGTTTGAAGAGGTCAAAACTTTAACTAGTGATGTGCCCACTCTTTTGGATTACAAAGACTTTAATTATGACTAGCAAAAATGCCCATGCGTTGCAACGGAAGAAAAAAAATTCTTCCATGTTATCTGGTGTGTTCGTGCGTTGTCATGGGAGCACACTCACATATGTGATGCTATCAAGATTCGTCTTAAACAAAAACTAAATTATCCATTTGTTAAAGTATCATACATGCACAATACATGCATTTGCCTACATAAAGAAATGCATTGTTGAATGATCATACATTGCTATGGAGAAAAAAATTCAACTGATCGCAACTTTCTCATTTCTCAATTAAACCTAGGCACCTTGACCACCCTGAACTTTGTTGTCATCCCAAAAAACATAAATCTACTTTAGTCATGGTCAACGCGGGACAAAAGTCTCTGATGAAAAAAAAACTATGGATGAAACGTACTTTGGGACGGTATTTTGGCAAACAGTATGTATTCCAATTCTTGACAACCTAAATTTTTCCACAGCCCCTTAGGTATTTCTGGAAACATCATACTTTAATGTAAATAACTGAGCATTGTTGCCATGGTTAGAAATTAAATTAGGTTAAATTAGCAATGAAGTGTACAACAAGCCAGACAAAATCCAAGTTTATACATTTTCTTGAAGGATATCTGAGACATAAGCATATTGTGATCTACATATATATCTCATCAAAGGCCCGTTCGGACCAGAAAGCCCACCCGGCTTGAGGTGACGGACCTTGGCGGACCTAGCTCTCCCTTCCTTTCTTCTCGCGCTCGATCTCCATGAGATCGAATATCTCAGCATCTATCTCGTCACAGGAGGACACCGGCCGCAGGAGAGCAACCTCGAGGCACCACCACGTCCGATGCCTCGGCGACCCGACCCCGCCAGCCCCCCGCACCCTTCTCTGCCTCGAGGCCCCCGTCCTCCGCGGGTCTCCTCTGTCTGCCATGGACACCGACCTCGTCCCCTGCCTTCTCTCGAGCTTGACCAAGCCGCAGCCATGGCGCCGCCGAGCATAGAGCCCTATATTCGATCTCCTGCTGCATCATTGGGCCCAGCTAGCTGCCTTCCTGTTTTCTGCCCTCCCTTCGGCTTCCTGCAGCGAAGCGAGGCCATGGCCGCCTCCTGCACGTGCGCATGCCGCCTCCTGCACGTGCGCATGCAGGGGTTCCACCCAGCGGTCTCCGGCCAGAGTGCTCCCGTTGGCCTTAACTCCTCCCTGCTCCTTCCCATGGACGCAAGCCAATCCCTTCTTCTTCTCCGATTCCTTAGTATGAGCCGGTTTAATCAGGTCTTTCTTGTGTTAATTTCATAATTTTCTTTTCATGAAGAAGCAGACAAACTCCTTATTAATTCTATGGGCGGCTTATTGGTATCAACTAATAGATGTATTTAAATTGGTGAGATTTTGCTAAAGAAAGCGAGGTGGGACTATCTAATATCGACCAATCTTACTTTAATTCAAGAACATACGCTTGGTCAGTTGGACTGCTCCTTGTATACATCGAACAGGAGGTCGGGAGTTCGACTCCCTGTAGCTGCTTCATTATTTTTTCCACCTCCACCGAACTACACGGTTTTGCCTGGGCTGGGTTTGGTGGACTGAGGGCCGATGCCCAGACGGCCGAGAGATCATCTGGTAAAACTCAGGATTGATCAGGGAGAAGTCCAACTCATGTAAAACAACAACAACATAAATTAGTACCATCTCGTTTATATTACGATTTTGTCCATACAAATCGTAAAAACATATTATGACATAAGAAGAAAGCGTATTGTGAGGGTGAACCCGACAAAGTCAATCCGTGCTTTATTATTAGGGAGAGATAGTTGCTCGTTTATTGATTGTATTTTTTTGTTGCAATCCATAATAAATTCATCTCATGCTTATGAACAAAATAAAGTTTTTACTAAACATATTATTGATGCTATGATGAAAGCTTTAGAAGAAAAGTTAGAATTAGATATTTCAATCACTAGAAAATTACATGATGAATGGGAGTGGATGATCTATAATAGCGTGCCGGGAGGCAATGTCTTTGGCGGATGATCTATTTCTCCAGAGCGTTATTATAGCTTCAGACTCTAATCAGGCCGTGGATGACATCAACAAAGGATCTCATGGCGGGCATGGATCCATCTTCAGCGAAATCAATCATCGAACTACAATGTTTAACTGTTAATTTACTTTGAAGGCCCCGCCATGAATAGCAAGGCTCGCAGTTTAGCTAAGTTCTCCTATTTTGCGCCATCTGTGACTTGTTACTCTCCATGATCCTAGTTATATCCCACAAATAGGGATGTAAACGGATCGGATCGGATCGGATAATGCCTTTACCATATCCTTTACCATATTTTTTTGTCGGATTCGGAGCGGATCGGATAATGACCGGATGCGGATTCGAATACGAATTATATCAGACTACGGATTCGGAGTGGAAGCGGAGCGGATTCGGACCGAAAGTGGATAAATAAAATCTATGTACATCTTGTCCATAATATCTATCATGATCAATGCAAAGAAGAACAATATAGAAGTAACCAATCAATTTTTATTGATAAATGAAATTAATAACTTACACGCTGCACCAGGCAAGACATTAGCCATCATAGGTTCATAGTGTTCTCTGGTTCATAACAGAATATGTTATATACTATGTAAGTGAGCTTGTACAGTACGTGTTCTCAAGTCTATTCTCTGCGCTTGTACGTACATTTTATGTGTACAGTCATACGGCGGTGCTATTAGGTTTAGGGTTATATGATATTTATATGTGGTCATTCTGATCAGCGATCTAATTGGGTCGTTGGGCTTTTCGTTTGGACCAAATTTATCGGATAATCCTATTTGATAACACCGCATAATCCGCAAAAAATACCGGATAATCCACATCCATCGGATATTATCGATACCATATCCGCTACCATATTCATCGGATATCCGGTTAACAATTATCCGTATCCGCATCCGTATCCGTCGGATTTATGAAAGTGCATACCATATCCTTAAAAACGGATGCGGATGCGGATTCGGAACGGAAATTATCCGTACCATTTACATCCCTACCCACAAACTGTGCCTTCTGATCAATAAAACCTATCCATTCCCTCAAAACGACCACATTTTTTCTCTAAGCACTCACTACTTTTTCTAACATCCAATCCTATATGACCTAGGAGGCATCATCCTAAGGCTCGTTCGCCATGCTCTTATCCCTCGCCAACAAGGAACTGAGCGAATAGTACTCACTCCGTCCTAAAGTAATTGTCATTAAAGTTGTACTCCCTACTTGTCGAAAAATGCATAAAAATAGATGTATCTAGAACTAAAATGTCTAGATACATTCATTCCTCCTACAAGTATTTCCGGGAATGAAGGAGCTGAGCGAATAGTACTCCCTTCAAGTCACTTAGTTATACTAAACAAAAGACATTTAATTTGCGATGAAGGAAGTATTTCGGTAAATTATTGGATTTAAGTTGTGGGACTGGGTGGATTTAAGCTTTGGGAATGGGTTTTCGGATGACTTCCTCCAATGGCTTGCCTTTTGCAGGTGTACCTTCTGACAGACATTAACTTTTAACTGATGGCGTTGCTGTCTTACAGAATATACGTACGGTAATATAAATAGCCCAGACCGACAAATTTTCAAACAGTAGCAGTCAAGACAGAGCAAAATTCAAGTCTTTCAGAAAATTGGGCAAACCTAATTCCAAATGCAAAATGGCTGTCGAAGGATGCAACAGTACAATCTACAGTTCTGTCATTCTATCAATGTAGAATCCATGTCTGAATTCCTTTCCATTCATACTTCTCCGTATCAAAATACAAGACTTTTTTGCAGTTCATTTTGAAATCTGAATTTTCAATTTGGTTAAGTTCAAATAAGGCAATTTTCATCATGATAACTGAATTCAATGTATCTAGTGATGAAATAATCCAGCGGCAATCAACTGCCCTAAGCAACAAGACAGCAAAGCAAATGCAGCGACTAACAATATATAAGAATCGCTCAAAACATCAATGACAAAACTCAACATATGATATTCTAGCTGCCATAATAACATTGATTGATTCCGCAAGGTACTCATTAAACCAGTAAAAAATAGTCTCACAATGGAACCAGTAAAGCATGACAAAAGTTTCTTCTTCAGCAAGAGTAGAACAAGTGAAGATATCACATCCATTCTCTCAAATGCATCAGGAAGCATCTAGATAGGAGAAACTACTTCAGCAGCCTCACATAACAACCTGCCCAAAGCCAAGCCTGCATGATTAAACATAAAGCTGTTACAATGGATTCATTCGCACTTTAATTACAGAATGTTAAATTCATAGCTAAGAATACAGTGTGATCAGATAAAAGTATAAAATGGACTAGCATGAGCAACATTCATCCTAACAATACAAGTTCACAATCCACGGAATCTACCTACAATCGTCTATAGTTACTAGCAAGAACACTGAATCAACAGATAATCTTCCCACATTCTACCTAGCTAATAATTGAAGTACATACGACATGCTATTACACGCCACTCTCCCCCTAACAAGTTGGCAGACCATAACAGCATTTCTGGTACCAGCAAAGCAACAAATAATTACTGCCAAACAAGAATTTGGTCATTACCTTCTTAAGCGGGGATCTCCACCTCGCCGTCGTCGATCTCCGTCTGCAGATCCTTGGGGTCCTTGCCGTCAACGGTGCAGCCGACGCTGACGCAGGTGCCGAGGATCTCCTTGACGGTGCCGGCCATCTCCTTGGCCATGGAGCGGACCTTCATGATCTTGGCGATCTCGATGACGTCGTCGAGGCTGATGTTGCCGCTGTGCTTGATGTTCTTGACCTTCTTGCGGTCCCTCTCGGGCTCCTTGAGCGCCTTGATGACGAGGGCTGCGGCGGAGGGGACGACGGACACCTTGGCCTGGCGATTCTGGACGGTGAGCTTGACGGTGACGCGGAGGCCCTTCCAGTCCTTGGCCGTCTCCTTGGCGATGTCTTCTCCGATCTTCTTTGGGGAGAGACCGAGCGGACCGATCTTGGGGGCCAGGGACGACGCAGCGCCGACCTCCCCGCCGGTGACGCGGACATACACCTCCACGATCTGGGACGGGTCGAGCTTGGGAGGCATGGCTGCGAGCTTGGGTTGGGGAGGATTGGCTGCGGGGAGTGTGTGGCGGCGGCTGGAGTTGGAGATGCTAGGGTTTGAGCCGCGAGCTTGTGTTGAGATTATATACTGTCTGGGGTGGATGGGGGTTAGGGTTTGGTGGTTTACTCGGTGGTGTGGGTGTATTGGGCCGTCAAGGATCGTCAGAGTTAGGCCCTTTGGGAGATTAAATGGGCTGCACCGCACCTGTTGGGCTGAAGTAGTGGATGCTTTTAATAAGAATATAAAATGTATGAAATCAGTAATTAGGGGTACCCCTAATTAATTTTTCTAGAAGGGGTACGTTACAAAGCTCACTCCCACCTTTTATGATGGTGACAAATGACGCACTGCATGTGCACCAACTTGTCGCTACCTGAGAGTTTTGCCCTTTTACATAGATGATTCATTTTTTCAATGAATTTTATCTCTTGCACCTTGAGTCTAAATCATGGTCATTTTCACCATTGGATACCGGAAATAAAATAACAGAAACCAGAAAAGAAACAAAGACAAAAAATCAGAGATAAAAAAGACCAAAAATTAGGAAAAATCAAAAACCATAATTTGAAAGCATAGTTGTGCTTTTCTACTTTCGGGGCGAAGCACAACTATGCCTTTTCAACTTTTTTTGGAAGCACAAATGTTCTTTTAAATTTTCAAGAAGCACATTTATGTTTCTTGTGGAAGCATAGTTGTGCTATGCTTCTCGCGAAAAAGTAATGCTTCCCGAAAAAACCAGCCAAAACCTCGGGAAAACCAAGCAAAGGGCCAAAAAACCAAATGAACCCCAAAAACGGGTGCAGAACAGAAATCCCGAGGGTGCACCTAGCACGCAACATGTGGCGCCGAATAGGGCGCATCACTTGGTGCACTCCCGAACCAAGAAAATGATCTATGTTGGAGGCCTCCAAAAGGTAAACCTTAATTAGTTCCTCCCAAAAAAGTATAGCGAATTACACCAGGCCTCCTCTTTAGCATCTTCGGCACAAAGCGTAGCGGGCCGCGGCCCAATTCTTCCGGTCCCTCGCTCACTCGATTTGGTTCCGCCGTGAGCTGGATCATTGACACATTCATAAGATTTTAATGAAAAAAACACTCATTGCCAACTGTTGTTTACAAAGAATCAATTACTAGCAAAAATTGGATTTTTAAAATCTGAAAAAATAATGACAGGAAAAGTGCTCGCTAGTTTGTCAAAAATCACTCTGAAATAAAAAAAATTGTGAATATGAAAAAATACTCATGAATATGAACACTAGTTTGAAAAAATATTCTTGAATTCAAAAAATGTTCATGAATATAAAAAAAACGAGTTGAAAAACGTTCACAAATCCAAAACACGTTTAAGATATGAAGATGAGTCTGGCAAAAAAAATCTTGAAATAAAAAATATTCATGAATATGAAAATGTTCGCAAATTCAAAAACGATCACGTATCCAAAAATAAGTTCATAAATATGAACGCAGGTTTGACAGAATTTGAAAAGGTTCATGTATATTGGAAAGTTCACAAATTTGAAAATTGTTCATGAATTCAAAAAATGTTCACGAATACAAAAAATATTCATGAATATGAAAAAAAGTTCATGAAATCAAAAAATGATTATGATTTAACACATGAATTTGTAAAACTTTATGGATTTTTTAAAAAGTTCACATTTCAAAAATATTCACGATATTTTTAGAAGTACATGAAACTTGAACAAAAAGGGAAAAATAAAAATAAAAACCAGAGATTGTTGACTCACTTGCCTTATTTTGAGGATACTTCAAGCCGAAACTCCTTGGCCAGCAATCTCTGTCTGATTATTAAAATGCAGCATTCACATGAATACTGCGGATCAAATCTTAGGACTGCTTTATGCAAAAATAATACTCCCTCCGTTCCAAAGTTCTTGTCTTAGATTTGTCTAGATGCCGATGTACCTAATACTAAAACGTGACTTGATACATCCATATTTAGACGGATCTAAGAGCATAATTGGTTTGCTACCAACATTTGGCAAAAACAAAAGTTGCCAAGATTTGACAACTTTTTGTGAGATTGGCAACAAGAATTGGCAAGCAACCAATCTCTAGCCAATATTTGGCAGTTGCCAAAATTTGGCATGCCAACTTTTGGCATCAAACTAATTATGCTCTAAGACAAGAATTTTGAGACGGAGGGAAATAATCTTAGGACTGCAAATTTTCGAACCATGGGCAGCTAACAAATGAGCTACAATACTCCTCTCCCTCAGACAGTGTTTACACGAAAGAAATTCCTAGCTAAGAACACACACACTCTTAATTATATGCTAGTATAACAGAAATAGGCAGTTCAAACAGAGAGATCAATCTCTCTAAAAAAAGACAACAAAGAGGGGACAGGATCAGGTTCGAGCTATCAAAAAATTAGAAAAAGAAAGATGTATTAGGTTCGACACATCAGATATCACCAGGTAAGCCGCCATTAGCGATCCGGGCACCAGACCGAAGAGCAACAGCGACTTGATTGATACGTATACAGTGTACGAACCAGATCTGTACAGTTTGTTTGCACCGGTCGCAAGAGCACTGCTGCTACCATCTAATGGCCAAACTAACAGCAACTTGACTGATATTACAGTGTACGAACCAGGATGTCAAGACACTATGACTGTGTTGCTCCATGATAACATGTAGCAAGTCAATCCATAAGTTTTAATCAGTATACAGTAATGACTCACGGAAAATTCATTCCTGAGCACATCACAGTTGAAGCAAAACAAGCATTGCTAGATTCACATTTGATTAACAAGGCACAGAAGCCTGAACTGGTATATATATTACTCATTATATATAATCCATATCCATTCGACATATACCACAGAACAAACACGAACGACCAGAAAAACGAAACAAGGGTGGGAGAGAACCGACACGAACTGTATAGGTTGGTTCAGAGAAACCATGGTTTCACAACCCGATGCTCTCGACCCACACACACGAAAAATTGAGCGTTTCACTCCTCCGCAGAATTTGGAAATGAAAAAAGCAAAGCCCTAGTTATCACTTCACAACTAGAGCCCTCTCTCCTTCATTCAGTCCCAGCAGATGCTTGATGATTCCAGTGAACTCCTGCGCCGATCAGTACTCGGCGTTGTCGTCCAGCTCCGCGAGTGCCACCCTGCTGCCTTCATTGGCGGTGATGGCCAGGTTCTGCCCTTCCTGCACCGGATAAAGGACAAGCATCAGAAGTCAGTGTATGTACAGTACAAGGAACAGCATATAAAATAGCAGAGATGAGATAATGGTATTAACAAAGGTTTGTCAATTGTAATTACCTTGGCAGCAATAAGACCCTCCTTTAAAGCACTCTTAAGCTTCCTTAGGCTCATGTTAGTGAGGGCGACGTTTTGCTTTGCGCACTCTTCATTCTTCTCCTCAGTGATGGTGACCCGGTCCAGTGTCTCTGTGACGGTCTCGGTATGCTGAGAAACCTCACTGCCCTCGCTGGATTCTTCAACTTCTTCGGTGACGACAGAGTCAACAGTCTTGGCTTCAAGACCCTCCTTGAAAGCACTTTTAAGCTTCCTTAAGCTCATGTTAGTGGTGGCAGAGTCAACAGTCTTGGCTGCAGATGAGGCAGGAGCAGCTTGGATTCCCTCAAGCACCAGCGGAGAGCTGGGGCTTTCAGTTTCAGCATCACTGAATTCAACATCGTCAAACTCTGATGACAGATCAGCGCTGAAATCATCTTCCTCTCCACTCTCCTCATTTTCTTTAGGCTCTTCGAATGTCTCCCGCATCTTGAGATCCTCCTCTTCTTCATTAGAATCAAAGTTAGCTTCAGTGGAGTCGTTAGCCTTCTGCATATCCTCCTCCTCGAGGTCCTCCTCTTCATCAGAATAAAAGTTCACGACAGCGGAGTCGCTCACCTTCTGCATATCCTCCTCCTCGAGGGGATCCTCCTCGCTGCTGTACTCACTGAGGTCATCCTCCTCACTACTGTACTCACTGAGGTCATCCTCCTCACTGCCCACTCCATCAAGGTCACTTTCCTCAGCACTATCCTCTTCTGTCAGATCACTCTGCGGCAAATCAGCAGCAGCGACTTCCTTCTCTGTAACAGCAGCTGGGATCATCTTGTTAGGAGCATCAGCAGTCTCAACTGTGGAACTGAAAGCATTTTCCTTAATATCATCAGCAGCAACATCATTCTCTGTCACCGCAGCTGGTGTCATCTCGTTAGGAGCATCAGCAGTCTCAATGGTGGAATTGAGAGCATCTTCCTTGAAATCATCAGCAGCAACTTCCTTCTCTGTCAAAGCAGCCGGGGTCATCTCGTTGAGAGCATCAGAAGCCTTAACGGTGGAACTGAAAGCATCTTCCTGGTAATCATCAGCAGAAACTTCCTTCTCTGTCACAGCAGCTGGGGTCATCTTCTCGTTAAGAGCATCAGAAGCCTCAACGGTGGAATTGAAAGCATCTTCCTTCAAATCATCACCAGCGACTTCCTTCTCTGTCACAGCAGCTGGGATCATCTTGTTAGGAACACCAGATGCCTCAGCGGTGGAACTGAAATCATCTTCGTTGATGGCTTCCTTTGGCACTTCAACAGCAGCTACTTCCTTGTCTTCACTGGCACTGTTGATCTCATCAACTATCTCGAACACAGGTGACCATTTGCTGCTTTCACCATCTTCAGTTGAGGTACCTTCAACGTTCTTGATGGCAGGTTCAGGTGTGGCCTTGGAAAGGACACCTAAGATAGGTGAATCCTCCATTGCTGACAAGGGAACAGACTTCTCAGCACTGACAAGCTTCTGTTCTTCCTCAACTGCAGCTTCTGATGCATCATGGTTCATAATTAGCAAATGGAATCAACAGATAAAGGACAAAATTTATAAAATACAAAAGCAATGACATGGGTGGATTCAGGGATGCTACAGTTAAGTCATATTGGCTACAGATAAAGCAAGGAACAAACGGATACATTTCAGAATCGCTATAGATGACCA